GCACTGTTTTGTGGCATCATAACAGAGAAGCACTGTTTTGTGGCATCATAACAGAGAAGCACTGTTTTGTGGCATCATAACAGAGAAGCACTGTTTTGTGGCATCATTTCTCTCTGTTAAGTGTGTTACAAAACAGTGTTTCTCTCTGTTAAGTGTGTTACAAAACAGTGTTTCTCTCTGTTAAGTGTGTTACAAAACAGTATTTCTCTCTGTTAAGTGTGTTACAAAACAGTGTTTCTCTCTGTTAAGTGTGTTACAAAACAGTGTTTCTCTGTTATGATGCCACAAAACAATGCTTCTCTGTTATGATGCCACAAAACAGTGCTTCTCTGTTGGTGTTACAAAACAGTGTTTCTCTCTGTTAAGTGTGTTACAAAACAGTGCTGTTAAGTAGAGAAACACTGTTTTGTAACACACTTAACAGAGAGAAACACTGTTTTGTTAAGTGTGTTACGTGTTTCTCTCTTGGTTTTTGATACTCATATCCATACATTTACAAATTATGTGATGCTTTAATTACTGGATTATGTGTTAAGTACTCTTTAGTGCTTGGGAAAAATTAATAATTAAATTTATTTTAGAATATTATAAAATGAAAACAAAAAATGTATATAAATATAATAGTACTGTCTGTTGTATGTTATGCTATATAAATATAATAGTACTGTCTGTTGTATTTTCATGTATATAAATATAATAGTACTGTCTGTTATATGTTATGCATATAAATATAATAGTACTGTCTGTTGTATGTTATGTATATAAATATAATAGTACTGTCTGTTGTATGTTATGTATATAAATATAATAGTACTGTATGTTGTATGTTATGTATATAAATATAATAGTAGTGTCTGTTGTATGTTATGTATATAAATATAATAGTAGTGTCTGTTGTATGTTATGTATATATAAATATAATAGTACTGTCTGTTATATGTTATGTATATAAATATAATAGTTGTGTCTGTTGTATGTTATGTATATAAATATAATAGTAGTGTCTGTTGTATGTTATGTATATATAAATATAATAGTACTGTCTGTTATATGTTATGTATATAAATATAATAGTACTGTCTGTTATATGTTATGCATATAAATATAATAGTACTGTCTGTTGTATGTTATGTATATAAATATAATAGTACTGTATGTTGTATGTTATGTATATAAATATAATAGTACTGTCTGTTGTATGTTATGTATATAAATATAATAGTAGTGTCTGTTGTATGTTATGTATATATAAATATAATAGTACTGTCTGTTATATGTTATGCATATAAATATAATAGTACTGTCTGTTGTATGTTATGTATATAAATATAATACTACTGTCTGTTGTATGTATCTATATAAATATAATAGTACTGTCTGATGTATGTACATGTAACTACTTTGGAGGGTGTGGCTGGATTTTCATCAAAATTGGTATGGAGGTTCACTGGGTCTATGGAGAAATACATACAAATGTTCAGTTTTGCAGTTTTTACCACTACTTCACCCCCTGTAGATCAATCTT